TAGGTTCATTCCTTATCTTTTTGGACTAAAATCTGAAAAGTGTCAAAATGCCAGAGCGTAAGCAAAATGCGCTCACTAAAAGGGAATAACAGAAAAAGTAAAGGAACGCAAAAAACCAAATTTTTAGTCCAAAGAATGGCAACAACAAAACTAACGTCAAATAAGAACAGAAATGTATGTACAAAACACATTCACACAAGCACAAGCACAATAAACACTTACTATATCAATTATTTTTTGCCTCCTTCCGATTTCAATTCCCTTTTTTTAGTTTTTAGATTATTCTCACTTTATGCGTATTCTTTAATTTCCGTTAATTTTTATTCAGTTGAGTTTGACACTTTTCAAGATTTTGCAAGCAAAAATTCTTCTGACTAAATCTGACTACTTCGGACTGATGAGAGTCACTCTCACTGAATGTTGCTCTCCCATTTTTGCTGTCATTTCCGAGTTAAGGAACGCTTTTTGGACTAAATCTGACTACTTCGGACTTTTTCTGACTATTTCTGGGAGATAAGGAACGCTCCCGATATACGGCTTTCCCACACCATCCCAGTACTTAAATCGCTCTCTCATTCGTGATTCGCACTCCAATAACGCATCGAGCTACGTAATTCGCCATTCAAAATTTTGAGAGCGAATTTTCTCATTTCTTGGTAGTTCAGATCCAATTACCATAAAAATTACGATCAAATCGGTGCCGTCTCAAATTTTTATCGGAAATTTATCGAAACTAGCTCTCAAATCAAATCTAGCCTTTTTCTGAGTACGAGAAATTAAAGTTATCAGTGTGTATATCCCTAATTTAATACGGAAACTTATAAATTTTTAGGAAGAACCTACAATTTGCATCAATTAGCAGCGCAGAAAAACAAAATCAAAACACAGGGACTGAGAACTATCAAATCGAATTAAGAATGTGCGCATAGGAATGGTGTAATTCGCGATCGTAATTGGGGAGCGAACAAAGTAATTGGGCCTCCGCACACTGGACTGCTCTGTCCGCCTAAAATAAGAAATATGTATGCAGCTCTCAAGAAAACGGTCAAGAAAAAATTGCCATTATTTCGCGTGTGTCCAAGGAATTTTGACATTTTTGATACCTCACAGCCTGTTGCCTACAGACGTGCTGTGCGATAATCAGCCCTATTCTGCATTTCGATTCGAATCGAAATTTTCCGCTTTTGGCAACTTTGTTATTCTGCGTTCCGTTTCCTTTCGATCAATCTTCGAAATTTACGTTTATATCTATTCTACATTTCGATCGTACCCATTAGACATTTAGGTTTGAGCTCAACTTGAGGTCATAGCGTTCTCAACAAAAAGGGCATTTTTCTTTGTATGAAAAAAGGACTTTTCCTCAAGTTGAGAAAATGCTAGTTCTCAACTTGAACTCTAATGTATTTCTCCAATTAGTCTCAAACATATTGAAATACTGAAATTGAAATTGTAAAATGCCTTATACCTTTTTGATTGAAACGACATATATAGATGAATTTAAATATTAATTTTTCATTTTATTACTCCTTTTGTATTATGTAGTTAATCAATATCGTATTATAATAATTCACTTCACAGTATACAGCCCGACAGTAATTTTGCCACTTGATTCACTTCGCGTTTTATTTTCTTTCAAGAATATTTGAGGATACTTTGAAGATTATTTACTTTTCGTTGGCAGTTTTCCCCTCTATATAGCTTTAGTTTTTCACTTGATAATTAAAAATACGTATCTCTATCACTTTTTACGTATCTGCGCGTGGGTTAGAGATGAGTTGGAGAATGATGTTGGATATCAAACTTGAGAACTATGAATTTCTCCAAGGTTGGTGAAATATTTTTTTTGTGTTTATTGGGATAGTTCTGCTTTTCTAACATCCTCTTTCGTTTAAGGTGGGTTTGGGTGGTCACACCACCTAAGTAAATGTTACGGATACATTAATACATAGAAAACCTTTAATATTGAAGCAATTATAACTAAGACAATGATTTAATACTAGTAAAATTTAAAATCTAGATAAATACACTTCATTCATTACTTGTAGCCGCTAATGTAGTGTCCGTTTTTTCTTCAATACTTCCAACCGACTCTGTGGTTTCCATGTTTTTTGCAACTTGTTTAGTCGCTTTCGTGTTTTGAGGTTTTTTCTCAAGTTTCTTCTGCGGAAACACACCATGCTTGTGCTTCATATGAGAGTTAAGGCCCACAAATTGATAGAATCTTTTTTCACAGAACTTACAGCCAAACTTTTTAACTTCAGCATGTAATTGTTTATGCCGGAGCAGGGCATGCGAGTTTGTAAATCCCTTGCCACATGTCTCGCAAATCTTATCGCGAATGTTTAAATGAGCTTTTATGTGATCTTTTAGATCTCGACTTTTCAAGAAATCTTTAGGACACATAGTGCACTTAAATGCTCTTAACTTTGTATGTATAGCATTATTATGAAATCCGAGCTTTGTGCGTGTGCGAAAGGCTTTTCCACATAATTCACATACGAAGGGCTTGTGTCCCGTATGCATTTGCGTGTGATGCTTTAAATCTCCTATTACGGCGAATTTTCGTTCACAAAACTCACATTTATGAACTTTCTCCATATGATTACGTCGTTCATGACCCCTCAAGGCTGTATTTGAACTAAAGGTTTTAGTGCAATCTTTGCACTTATAGGGTAAGTCACCGATATTGTGTTCTTTGAAGAGGTGTACTTGCTTCAAAGTGTTAGTTTGGAAACGCTTATCGCATTCTGAACATTTAATTTTCTGTTTGCGCGATCTATCTGGAAGGAAACTTAACTTGTCAATATAAAACTGTGCTGCGCTTGACAAATCTGTTGGTTTCAAATTTTTTCCAAAACGACTTTTCAGCTTAAAATACCAGTGACGCAAGTAATCTATACCTTTGTATATTTCTTCGTCAGTAAACTCGACGTTGTATTCGACTCTGAGAATATCTGCCATTTCTTTGTACCTCTGTTTACGTAAAAGCACATATCCGAAGTCTATATGCTTAGTATCATAAATTCCGGGAAAACGGGCATATGTGTCGATAAACGCTATAGTTGCCGTGTTCATAGTTGCAAAGCTCAAATTCTGAAAATAAATGTTTGTATACATATGTAGCTGTTATTTTGTATGCAAACTTTTATGAAGGCACTTACCGTGGTTGTGTTAGGAGTATCCTCAAAAATGTCTAAAAAGTCATCCTTTGCTGCAGAAAGAAATGAACACTTCTCCAAATAGTCCAGCACCACTGTGGACAGTTTTGTTGATGCTGTTTCCGATTTCTTATGCGTTAACTTGTATAAAGAATATAACTCACGAAGACTTGCCCAAAGTGTTTTATTGGTTAATGTTATTTGGCATGTTTTGTTCATCTCTTTTATTATTTCCCTCCTACTGTTGGAGCCTGCGGTGCTGTTGTTATAGTCAGCGTTATTGGGATCCCATAAACATGGGGCCTTCTCAAAGAGTTCAATTAATACCGATGTATTTTTGTTTTTCCTATAAAAAGATGGTTTGAACTGAAAATGACACAGTGTTAATTCCTTAGCTAAAAAATTACATGTATGTACAGAAAACAAACCTTTTTAGGTGGCTTTTTATTTTTTGCAATGTAGTCATCTGAAGAATCATCATCAGAGCTATCCAAGTTTTCATTATAATCTGATAATTTTTCATTATCCGAAACTGGATCTTGGTCTTGTATGTCTATTATCGGCTGTAAGGTAATATAAAAAATTAAAATTTTAAAAGAATTTCACCTTATATTAAAGGTTGCATGTACTTACCTCCGTTTGCAGGCATTCCTCATCGGAATCTATTTCCATTTTTAAACCATTTTCATTTGATTCAGATTGTTCGCATGCAGTGGGTGTCACAGCTTCTTCTTTTACCCATTCGAAAGCGATGTTTTCTTTGCAATCTGCTTGTTCTATTATATCAATGCATGGTTCCTCATAACCCGTGTAGTGCAAACTTTGAATATGACTAACGAACGCCTCCCATTCTTCAATATTTGTTTCACAATATAAACACTTTAATGCAAATTTAAGCACATCTTTTGACACCAAAACATTTCCACAAATATCCATTTCTGCAAATGATTATGCTGAGAATATGAATTTTCAATAAAATTTCAACAGAGGTGCATTTAGGGATGAAACGATACGAGTAAATACAAGTGCATACTCGATACTTTTCGTTCGATACCGAGTAATCGATAATTTTGAGTCAAGTATCCTGTAAGGCTTTCTGCACATTGGTCGTCCAATCATAGTTGCTTCATCGTCACAATCATGATGCTACGATTACATTACGACTACACTTTCGCACACTCGGTCGTGATATTTCAATTCATTTGGCGTCTAAAAATTCACTTGGAGAAGGTATTTTCTGTTTTTCTGGTTGATATTTTCGCGAAATATTTACAAAAACCTGCAATTATTAAAATATAGACTTTGCTGCAACAATTCTAGACATCATTTTGCAGTAACATCTCTTCTTGTCTTTTCCTGAAATGTGTTTTGTGCATGCACACAGGGACTTTTTACAATTTCGTAATATTTTATAGCTAAAACGCTCACATTTATTGAATTTTGATGCAATTATCCACTTTTTAATAATTTCCAAAGATTTTATGCAAAAAATACTAATTTTTATGCAATTTTGATGCAAATATTAACTTTTTCACTAATTTATCCCCATAAAATGTAGACAAACAATGCGTGCACAACGATTAGCAAACGACAGTGCCGGACTTATCCGTTTCTGCATCTTCTACGATTTGCCGATAACAAGCCGATAACGACAAGTGTGCAGATCTCCTTTGAAATGCATGTGCTCGGCTCAAAATTTCAGGGCGAGACGATAACTCAACTATGATTGGACGACAAGTGTGCAGATAGCCTAAGCATGACATATGGGGTGTTCACAGTTCGTTCCAAATAGTGTCTCAAAATGTAGACGTCTACATTTTAAGACGTTTTCTAACCGTAAAATCTGTGGTGTTGTTGTTTCCCATACAAAATTGGAAAACGACGCCGTCTACATTTTGTCACACTCAAAGGTATGTTTTTTACGCGTCTACATTTTG